ACATAGCCGCCGCAAGTTGTTGTGCTCAAGTGTTGTGGATGAAACAACAAATTTTGGATTTTGGCATTACTATGGATCATATTCCTATTAAATGTGATAATACTAGTGCTATCAATCTCACTAAAAATCCCATCCAACATTCTCGCACCAAGCACATAGAAATTAGGCACCATTTTATTAGGGATCATGTTGCTAATGGTGATGTTGATTTATTATTTGTGGACACTAAAAATCAATTAGCTGATATTTTTACAAAGCCTCTTGACCGTGATAGGTTTTTCTTCATTAGAAATGAGCTTGGTATGTTTGATCCTAGTGCTTGATATGATTCTTGAAATTAATAAATTTGCTTATTAAAATTTGTGCATATTGATTGCTTTGATTTGTGTACCTTGATTATATTCATGTTATTTGATGATGCATACATTGATATATGACTAAAGTTGCAAATTTAGTAGTTGATGTTCAATTTAAACTTGGTTAAATGAAGAAATATCAAATTAAGGTGCATTCCCTTCAAAACAGCCCTAAACTTTCTGTTTGTCCCAATCAAGGACAGTAGAGTCGGCTCAAGCATTTTCACAACCGGCTCCACCAAAAACCCGAGAGTCTTCTCTCTCTAGAGTTAAGCCGGCTCCAAGACTAGAGCCAGCTCTCCTGCAACTTTTTGAATATTCGGGCTTCTCTCTCTAGAATTAAGCCGGCTCCAGGACTAGAGCCGGCTCTCCTGCAGTTTATGACTTTTGGTATTGATTGTCTATGATTTTGATGATTATATGCTCTTATTGAGGGGAAGTTTATTGGTTGATGACTGTATTCATGACTTTGGTTGTCTATGGTGCTATATTGATGGTGATTGATGATTATATTCATTACATATTCTTGATGCTTTAAAGGTTGATAGCATGAATTAAGGGAGAGCATTTTGTGCTTAAATTACTTTCTTAATGGTTATCATGCTTAAATGCTTTAAAGATTGATGTGCATGAATTAAGGGGGAGTTTGTTGATTATGTGCTTTTTGATGAATGACAAAAGGGGGAGAGAATATGCTGAATTTAATGTCATTTTCTAGAGTATCTTTGTGCTGAGATTCTAGCTAATATTGAAGTATATATGTGCTTTATCTTTGTGCTGAAATTCTGGGTAATATTGAAGTATATATGTGCTTTCATTAATTCATTCTCAAAGTGTTTTGTCATCATCAAAAAGGGGGAGATTGTTGTACCTATGATTTTGATGATTACAGAACACATTTGAGTGACTAATTGGTTTATTTAAGTGTGTAGTTAAGTTGCTAAAAGATTGCAAGTAAACTTGGATTGCACTAAAATAGACCAAAAGGATTCAAAGTGTGCAGAGAGCCGGCTCTTGAAAGCTGCAGCTGGCTCTGGTGAAATGGAAGTGCAGAGAGCCGGCTCTGAAAGCTGTAGCCGACTCTGCAGGCAAAAATTTGAAGACCGTTGCTTGGCGCACGCGGAGAAAAGACGCAAAGCTGGCTCCAACTTCATAACCAGCTGTGAGGGTGCATTTAATGCACAACGGTCGAGTCATTTGAAGATTATTTAATGTATTTA